CCTGTGCATGCACATAGCAGGAAAAAGTAGATTCTTGTCAAGGCCCACTTTGGTTGTCTCATTCCTAATTGTCCCTGTTAAATTTCTGGTTGGTTTCCTGATTTGTAGCTTGCCCTAACTAGTATTGCAGATTCAGGCTAGTTGTGATATTGGCCTTCTAATTTTTTTTTTGTGCCTGGAATCATTATTGTTTTTGAAAATGCCCCTGGGCATGGAATTCTTCTTGCTCTGTTCCAAAGAAATTTAGCTCCCTCTAGTAAGTGGAGCTGCCAGTCTTCACAGCTTGCTCTGCCCTGGTGGGACTTTCATACCAAGGGATTGGGAACGTGTGTGGGATGGTGGGAACTCCAGGTTAAGCCACCACACACTTCCTTTGTTCCTAACAAGATTCAGTAGATTTTCTTGAATAAACACTTCTCAATTTTTTGTATGTCTTTGGTCCATTTCCTGATTCTTAAATAGTTGGTTTTGATAATTTTATCCAGTTTTATTGTTATTTTTGTTCTAGGGGATAATATTTGTCAAATTCCTTATTCTGCCATTCTGGGCATCATTTCCCGTCTTCTCTCTCCCTCTGTCTCTTTCTCTCTCATACACACACACACACACACACACACACACACACACACACACACACTTTTTCTTTTTTTAGAGAGCATGTGTGTGTGTGCACGAGTGTGTGCGGTGAGTGGTGGGGGAGGGGGAGAGGAGGAGAGAGAATCTTAAGCAGACTCCATGGCTGGTGCAGAACCTGACTCGGGGCTTGATCTCACCACCCTGAGATTGAGACCTGAGCCAAAATCAAGAGTCAGACGCTTAACCGATTGAGCCACCCATTTTTTTTTTAAAGATTTAATTTAATTTATTTATTTGACAGAGAGTGGGAGAGAGCGAAAGAAAGCACAAGCAGGGGGAGCAGCAGAGGGAGAGGGAGAAGCAGATTCCCCACTGAGCAGGGACCCCAGGAACATGACCTGAGCTGAAGGCAGATGCCCAACTGACTGAGCCACCCAGGCGCCCCTGTCTCCCTCATTTTTAAACATTTAAATTTTACTCAAACTGAATTTTATTTTAGAACGTGTTATAAAGTACACTGTATTGGCAATTTGTTAAGTAGTGTCTTAATACAACTTGTTGATTATTTTGTGTGTTTCTCAATTATTTGTAGTATAAATTGTTTATTTCTCACTGAAATGTGAGGTTTATTTTAAACTTTTTTTAAAAATTTATTCCATCAATAGTGTGTTCTTTCATTTGTTTTTACCATGTCTTGCTTTCTATTGGCTCCATTTTAGCTTCTGAATAGGCTCAACCTTTTCTCTTTTTAAACTTTTCTTTTGATTTTATCTCCTTGGGTTTCCTTTACTTCCCAGGTTCATAAATTTCATCTGCTCTTGCTTCTTATCAGGACTGAGATAGAGGGTAAGGCGATGAGATGCCTAGGGCATAAACATTTCAGGAGTCTCTCTCGAAGTCCTGCAAGTGCAGGGTGCAGGGTTGGTACTTGCATGATTTTGCTTTTAAGAATTTTGCATCCTAGGTGCCTGGCTTGCCTCACACTAGTCCTGGCCCTGCTTAAATTTCTCATTAGTGGATATTCATTGTAAGCTGTTTTCTGTTTCTGTTCCAAATAGGCTTTATTTATTCAAATTTTTGAGCAACTGCTCTGCACTATGCATTGTGCTAGGTTTGGGGAATATAAAGGGTCTCAAGACACCACTTCTTTCACCTAGATTATTTCTTCAGATTTACTCCTTCTCAAGTCTAGTGCCTTTCCCGCCATTCTGCTTCATACCTGCCTTTTTGTACCATGGGACACTGTTAATCATTACTGCCTGTTCATCCTAACCCCAGGCCAACTCTTCAAAATATACAGCTATTTCCATGATAAGACACTGTACATCAGTGTCCCTCTTTCTGAAAGCTGATGAGGATTAGAAATTGACTTGTCCTTTCAGTGTGTTAAGGTAGGGGGGCCCAGGATTTCTCTTGGGTTAATGGGCCTTTAGACCCATGTTGCTGGGGAGGTTGCTTGTTCATTCATCTTCTGCTTAGTATCTTCTTTGTTTGGAATCTCTCCATCTCCTTCCAGTACTTTGATACCCAAAGGCAAGCTGATTCTCTGCCCAGCTATTTGGCTGACTCTTGCCAACTTTGTGTCCTGGGTCCTGTGTTCTTTTCCTGTTCTTTGCTGACTTGTTTTTAGTGTAATTTCTCTGAATGACCCTGCTCTGCTTAGGTGTTCTCACTGCTTATTCATGAAAATAAACTCATCTACTCATTTAAGGAGTGAATAATGAACACATGTTCCACCCCAGGTACTATAGGAGTCACTGGGGTTATAACAATGAACCCAAGGACGTTCCTTGTCCTCCTGAGCTAGAGAGACAAGTTAGGTATGAATCACATCAATTGGGGGGTATTTGCTGTGAAGGAAAGTTAGAGATGCAGCTGATCTTAAGACATTTGAATTGAGATCCTGGTCTTCATTTCAGTTAACTGGCAGTCAGTTTTGAGCTCTTGCGGGGCATCAGGACTTGATACAAAGCACCCATTTTCAATTCTGGCTTTTATTTTTGTATTGTCTTTTTCCTGCTTGCAGCTTGCCCCCAACCCTTCACTTTACCCAAGGCTGCCATGAATACAATTTACAATTACTGCCATGAATACAAATTACAATACAGTCTTACTCAGTAGTGGTTGTCAACCGTGATCATTAACTCGTTCTCCTTTGGAGGTTATTTTCTCCCTTGTTTTCTTAACATTTGACTGTGTTGGTTCTTTTCCTACATCGTTGTTAGCTTCTTTGTTATATTTTCTACTTCTTCTTTGCATTTCCTAAAAGTTGCCCTAACCCAGATTTTGTCCTGGGCCCCTTCTGTGTCAGCTTAGCCATTCTTGGCAGTCTTGTACATTCTAGAAAACTCTGGGTTACCATTTTTATGCAAATGGATGGCTAATTTATCTAAGTTATGCTCTAGTTTCCAAGTATTTGGGTTAGAGGTATACATAGAGGCACATTTCCATGAGTACAGGTGTATGTAGAGGTATATGTTCACGTAAAGATAGGAAACACCCTAAGTGGAATTCATTATCTTTAACTCAGTGATGTTATAATCTCCCAGTCTCCTTGCTTGAAATCTCGAACATTTCCCACATTCTTGCTCTCGAGATTCCAGATCTGCCTGGCTGCCAAGTGGGGCCAGTGTGTCCTGTGTAATAATATCATGTCATGGGTTTCTTCTTTTCAGTGTGTGCTTGTTCAGCTCTAGTTCAGGCCTTCCTTCCTTTCTCCCTGTCTGTTCTGGTTCTTTCCTAAGGTGCAGCTGCCGCTTTCTCAATTCCAGATGACTCTGAATCCTGTGCCAGGTTCATTTTTCCTGAAACACAATTCTGATCTGTTGTTCTTCTCTTCTGCTCATTCATGCTTCAGAAATTCCCTACTGCCTGTGAAAAACGGGCTGTTTTTCTAGACCTTCCAACTTGTTTTATTTTCCTTGCCACTGCCTCCCTTCATACAGGCTGGACTCTCTCCAAATGGAATTAATGTTGTAAGAACCTGCCTGTGTTTTTCTGTTTGTGTCTCTACTTTTGTTCTCTTTTGCCAGCAGCATGCTTTTCTCACATTCTCAGTTCTTCCTTCACATCTTTCCTGAAGCTCTCTCAGATTTCCTGACTCAGAGATACTTTCTTCCATCATAAGTACATTTACCCATACTTAAAAAAAGAGAGTGCTTATCACTTCCCAACTTGTATTGTTATTTCAACATGATTTTTATAACTCTAATTAGCTTTTGTGTTCTTCATTGTGCATAGTATATACTACATTGTCCAAGTATTTGTTGAATTAATAAATGGATGAATGCCTTCTGCATTAAACGATCAGAGTCTGGCCTCCTCCTCTGTGTGCCCTTCCCATTACCTTGTTGTTTATCTAAGACCATCTGTTTCTCTCCCTTCTTGCCTTTTTTTTTTTTTTTTTTTACTTTATCCCTCAATCTCTTTGTGTATTGCTAAGTGGCCTATTACCCTTTGTCTTTGTAGCTTGTCTTTTCCTGAGTTAGTATTAATTTCACTTTAAAGAAAAATGATGTCATTTCAGTGAAGGATGTGTGTGGGAAATTTACAGGAAATGGAAGCTAGTGTTGAGAATGACATCTTGATCCATTTTATGGGAAAGAAGCCTGCCCACCAGGATTTTGGAAATTTGCAAGTATAGGCTTGAATCCCTGGGCTGGTAGCCAGCTGAGAGTAGAAAGTAGAAGTTGTGTTGATGTGTTCAGTATCCAGGTGGAAGGCCAGGGGCCAGCTCCAGGGCCCTGGATTCCAGTCTGCTGATCCAGGCAGCTGCCTTATATTCCTTAGAAGCAGCTACCTTGAGCTTGCGGACAGATGATTGGTTTGAAGTGATGTCAGGTAAGAGTAGGGAAATAGATGTCTAACTGCAGTGTTGCCATTTTTTGAAAGCTAGTGAACCACCTGGGGTTCCCTGCATAGTTTTGGATATCTGGTTGTGGCAGTGAATTAGGTTTTGTTGATGAATTCCAAAGGAATTAATTTAAATTGGTTTCATAGATGAACGTCATTTGTCCGACGTGAAACTTAGTAAGTGCCGCATCTTTGGAGTCCTACTTTAGTACTTATTTCATTATAGCCTTGAGATTCCAGATCTTTATACCTTTTTTCAAAATTCTATTCCCTCCCGCTCTTATCCATTTCAGAAGCCGAATGGAACTGCAGAACTCTTTCATCCCTACCTCATTGCCTTGTTTGTGGAGGTTTTTAGTTGAAGTGGCCCAGACAAACAGGCTAGCGATACCTTGAGAAGAAACTGAGGACAGATGGTGTGCTTGTCTAACTGCCTAGGAGAAAGTGACACTGGGACCCAGGAGGCCCCCCGCCCCTCTGATGTTTTTATCATGCGCGTACTACATTTCCGAGAGCACGGAGGAGGCTACAGGTTAACTGCTCGTCAGTCACTTGTCTCTCTTTGGTTTCAGCTAGTGACGACTGAGCTACTCAAGGCAGGAAGAACTCTGAGCTGAGCAGTGGAGGCCTCCCCTGGATCTGGAGAGAAGAGGCGACCTTGGAACCAGTAATGAGCCATCCTGACTGCAAGCTGAACCTCCGGCCCCTGGGGACCCCCAGAGGTAGCAAAAGGAAAATGGAGTCTATTCTAGCAACTGGAGACCTGAAATGAAATAACAGTGGAATGGAGGCACAGGGCGGGTCTTAGGGCCGAGGGGCACTATAGTTCTTTTGGTGACCTGTTATTCTTCCATGTTATTTATTCTAGAATTAAGTGTGGTTTCTTGTTGTCTTAATGTATTGTTATATTGAGTACAGAAAAGTTTGTTTGGTTTCCTCCAGAAAAGAGACAGTCTTTTAGTAATTCCTATTTTAAAAAGTTTGTGTCTATAAACAGCAAAGCATATTGAACCCATTATTCAGATTATGTTCTGTGCATGTTGTGGTGCTGATTTAAAACTTAAGTCTCATCTGTGTACATTTTATTCATGTTTCCTTACTCATTCTTTCCTTTTTGTGACTATTTGAAATCATTATCCGAGCATTTCATTCTTTTATTAGTCTTTCTACATTAAAAAAAAAAAAAGGTAAAATGTCTCCAGTTTAAAAATACAGAGATGTTTGGTTGAGGAAAGAGTTGATTGCTGCCTCATGTTTCTAGGTGTGTCCTGTGTGGTTGGCCCACATGGTGTTGGTGCTTCGCCAGGTGACAAAAAGTCAAAGAACAAGTCCATACGAGGGAAGAAAAAGAGCATATTTGAAACCTACATGTCCAAGGAGGATGTCTCAGACGGCTTGAAGAGAGGAACACTTATCCAGGTGCTTAAAACATAATAGGCAGCTATTCCTTGACTATGTGGAATCAGAAGTAATCTATTGCTCATTAAACTATTTATTGTTCTGTATTGTGTGCTTGAGGGACATGGTGCGAGAGCAGGCACAGGGCTTCCCACTTCTCCACCTACAGTGCAGTTTGAGGTGGTAAGCACCACAAGACAGACAGACCAAGTGCTCTGAGATTTGAGAGGAAGGAGCCATTACTTAAAGTTAGGGTTGTCTAGGAATTTTTTTTTTTTGTCTAGGAATGTTTTATTGGAAAGCATATATTTGGACCAGGCCATGAATTGGCACAGTTGGAACAAGTGAAGGTAAGAGAAAGAGCTTTACGGACGGAGAGCCCAGTGTGCGCTACTGAGACAGAAGTGGGAAATAGGGTTTGGCTGTAAGGAGCCTTGAGAGTTCAGTTTGCCTGGAGCACGTGGATACTAAATGATGAAGACTAGGCTTGAAAAGGAACCACTAAACAGCACCGGACGATATTTGTTGAGTGCTTTATAGTTTACAGAATACTTTTACAAGCTAGGTCAGTGGTTTGGCTCAGCAAAAGTTTGTTGAGCATCCACTGTGAGCCGGGAACAGTTCATAGTTGGGAGTGTGCTGCCTGGATGCTCTCGAGATGAAGGTGGATGGGACTGGTTTTCTGTTCTTTGAGCTCCCAGCCCAGGGTGGGCAGGCAGTCATGTGAATGGGTGATTTGGGGATAAATAGTAAGTGCTCAAATAAAAGTGTTATCAGGCTGTATGAGAGGATGTTGGGGGCAACTGGGAGCCTGGAGGAGGTGACTTCTTGGTGGGTATTGAAGGATGACTAGTTGGGGCCTATTACATGAGTGATCTGTATGTGAGAAGGTGGTAGAGGTAGTAGCACCCATGAAAACATGACTTGTGAAACAATGTGGGGTAAGGCCGCTTAGGTCTCCTTAGGCATGAAATATGAGGCAGGAAGTAGGTAATGATGAGATGGAGAGTGAGGTAGGGGCACATATTCTTTGAATTAAGCGTATTTTATAATTACTGGATTGGTATATAGAGGCATTCCCATGTGTGACCTGGCTCACTTGCAAATGTTGGTTGTGTTCCATTGTGAGCACATTCTCTCATTTCTCTCATTGTGAGAGCCCAGCTTCTATGTTTTGGCTTAAGATCCAGCCAGTGAACAGATACTGTCATCTTCTTTTCCTTTTTAATCACCTTTTTGTATTTACCTGTGGTCAAGTGCACATATGATTAATGTAAATTCTTTTTTTTGTTTGACCCCCTTCATCTACCCTCTGCCTTTGCCCTGGATCCCCGCCTCCTCTGGCAACCACCAGTCTATCTCTGAGGGGTTTTTTTGTTTTGTTTTTTAAGATTCCACATATAAGAGACCCAACAGTATTTGTCTTTCTCTGTTTGACGTGTTTCACATAGCATAATGTCTTTGAGGTCCATCCATGTGGTCACAAATGGCAAGATATCATCCTTTTTTTTGGCTGAGTAATATTCCATTTGTGTGTGTGTGTGTGTGTGTGTGTGTGTGTGTGTGTGTGTGTACCACAATTTCTTTATCCATTCCTCCTTCAGTGGACATTTAGGTTGTTTTCATAACTTGTCTATTATAAATGCTGCAGTGAACATGGGGTGCTCATGTCTTTTTGCATTAGTGTTTTTATTGACTCTTGAATGGAAAACTTTTTTTTTTTTTTTAAAGATTTTATTTATTTATTCATGAGAGACACACAGAGAGAGAGAGGCAGAGGGAGAAGCAGGCTCCCAAGGAGCAGGGATCCCGATGCGGGACTTGATCCCAGGACTCTGGGATCATGACCTGAGCCAAAGGCAGACGCTTAACCATCTGAGCCACCCAGGCGCCCTTGAATGGAAAACTTTTTAACAAACGAGTTGATCTTTCTGATTTTAGAGATACTATTAGCCCCCCCCTTTTTTTTTTAACTTCTCTTGGATTTCTTTGAGGAGGCCTCTCAGGGGAGTTGAAGCTGCATTTGGACATTTGTCCCTTCCTTAATCAGTTCATTTGCTCTTTACCCTCAATCCACTTACTGAACTCCATTTTATCTACAAGTTTCTTGGCCTTCATCTTGTTTCACGTACGAGGACCCTTTGTGCTTTTCCCATTTTCATCTCCTGCCACTCCTTCAGGTACATGCTGCTCTGTTCACCCTGATCCTTAAGACCTTCCCTGTAAAAACTCTGCTCTTTGCTTTCTCCATGACTCTGTACACACTGTTCCTAGTGCTTGGAATGCTTTCTTCCATTATCTTGATGTAATTGTGCTTGAACTTTACGTCCCTACCTAAATGTTACTCCTTTTGAGAAGCCTTGTTTTAATTCTCCAGTCAGAATTGGCCATGACTATTTTCTTGAATCTGACTTCGTTGTTTATCCTTTATTCTAAACTTATTACCATTTCTTGGTATTTATGTTTCCTCAAATAGACCATTCACTTTCTTGTGGGGAGGGTTGTCTCTTATTCCCACAAATTAGCCCAGTGTGTGACATTTGATTGATGTGTAATAAGTTTATACTGAATAAATATTTATTTACTGAGTGAATAAAGGATCAGGGTACTGTCTTTTGAAGAAGGGTGAGGGAAACTCTGTTGTAACTTGGAAGAAAAATTGCTTATAATTTTGGTTATAGAATTTATAGAGATAGGATGAGGAAAATATTCTGGAATGATACAGTTTTTGCTCCTTCCTATTAATTTTTACTTTTGAAGCAACTCTTTGCTGATATTAAAGCAAAACAAAAAGCTGATCAATATAACAACTCTCTTTCCCAGGAGTTTGTAAGTGATTCCTCCTGGCTGTGACATCATGAGACTCTGCAGCCAGAGCCTCCCCCCACAGATGAGAACAGTTGTTCTTTGCAGATGGGGAGAGGAATGGGTTCCAGATATGAGGTCACCGTGTGAAATATACAACACTGTAAATAAGATTTTCATAGGCAGGGAAACAGAGTCCATCTGCTTTCTGATATGAACTTTATGTGTTCAGGCTTTGATGGGTAAGATATAAAGCTAGACAAGAAAAGCTATTTAGATGTTGGAGAAAAGTAAACTTATTAGATACACTTGTAAGTATTTGTTAACTTTTATATTCAAATTTAAGTATATTGTGACATCCCTTTTTTTCTCCCCATCCAGAGAAGAAACTTTTATTGAGAGATATTAAGGAGATATTTTAAAAATAGGAGTAGAATAATACTTTTATTTTGTTTTCAATACTTCGAACAATAATTTGACATTTCATTGGTGTTTTGCCCTATGTGGGAATGAGGAATCCATAGTGACCAAAGGAATCTCTTTCCCGTGTTTGAACTGACCAGCAGTAACACATGATCATGTACATGTAATTTTGAAAAAAAAAACCTTTTTTTTGTAAACAAGTTCTCACATCATACATACATCCTTTCTCCATAGATGCGGTACAGGAGGTTGTTAGAGGAGGTGTTGGAAGAAATGAAAGTATGGGATAGGCCTGGAGGGGACTCAGGTTTGGGGTGATGGCCAGAGTAACATGGGTGTGATGGAAGAATTGGCTGGTTTCCTGATCTCAGGTGATGCTTTGGCTGAAGGTGGCTCAGGTTGATCCCCCAGAGCACCTGAGGCATGATGTCAGAGTTCCCCCGAAAATAGAATATTGGTGTAAAGTTGTTATTGGACCGTACAAGAATTCCTAGTCCAGGAAGATAGGACAGGATGGGTTCGTTTCTAGGACCTTCACCATTTGTTAAGACTGAAATCAGCTGGAGAACATTTGGGTATGAATTAAAGAGAAAAATAGAGGTGACGTTACAGTGTGCTGCCCAACCATTCGGAAGGCACAGATGATCTTCATAAAATTACTGGCAGGGCTGGTGGGAGAGCTTCAGCTCTGTAGCATTCATTAATTAGCTCATGTTTCTTGACTGTCTACTAAGTGCCAGGCATATACCAGTGAGTGAGAGAGGTGATTCACTGGGGGAGACGAGCAAACACAACCAAAGACATAAAGAGGGAATTACAGCATGTGCTGAGCACTGCCAGGGAAGTGAGAAAGATGAAAAATGAAGAATTAGAGAGAGCCACTTTACATGGGGTGGTTAGCTGCTCTGAGCAGGTGATTTCTGAGCTGAAATCTGAAGGGTGAAAATGAGCCAGCTCTCAGGAGAATTAGGCAAAGAACAGCACAGGCAGAGAGACCAGCTAGTGGAAGAATGGCAGGCAGAAAAAAGGCTTGGTGTTTTTGAGGAACATGAAGGGAGCTGTTGGACATAGTGAGCAAAGGGAATTACGATGTGGGAATAAGCTGGAGAGTCAGGCAGCCGCCACAGCGAGGCTGTGTTGGAGAGTTGGATTTTATTAAAACTGAAAGGCTTCAGTAGGGAGAGGGCATGGTGTATTTTATGCTTCAAAAACATCTCTCTGGCAGTTGTGAGGTGAACAGACTCAAGTGGAAGCTGGGTGACCATGTGGAAGGCCATTAGAGTAAATGGAACAAGGAGAGAAGGGCGGTGGCAGGGAAGATGGCCGGGAATGGACTGCAGTGGAGCCGGAACTGGCAGGAAGCTGACGGCTTAAATGTGAAGGTGAGGCAAAGGGAGGAATAAAGCAGGACTCCTAAGTTTTGAGTCAAGCCACTAGATGGATGATGTTTCCATTATCCGAGACAGGGGAGACAGAGGGTTGGAAGGTGGTGCTGGGGGAAGGGAGCAGAGGGCATAAATGAGCAGAGGCCCTGGTGATGACTGTGGCAAGCAGAGGCAGTCGGGGCAGTTACGAGCGAGGACTCTGGAACCAGACCGCTGGGCTTGAATGTGGTGTGCAGGTGGGCACCTCTCAGCACCTCGGTGTTCTTACTGGTAAAAGGGAGAACAGTAGTACCTACCTCATAGGATTGATTTCAAGGTTAAATTAGTTGATGGATATAAGCTCTTAAAACAGCGTGTAACATGTAGTGTACTTATATAAGTGTTACTTGAGATTTTTTTTTTTTATTGCTATAAGAGAAGTGTTTGTTATTCAACTCAGGTGGTTGCTGCCACAGAGGGTTAGTTGGTTTTTCAAGAAAATGTGGAAATACAAATTTATGTGTGAAATTCCTTTGCTTTAAGTGTTCTCAAACATCCTGTAAGCCAAATAAAACATGTTTGTGATTGCCAAGGTAGGCTGACTGGCCCCGTTGTGTGGTATTTTTCTCCAGTAACATTCAGCTCCTTGGGTGTGAGCATGGAGAAGGCAGGTAGTTGGGGTTAACTGAGGGGGAGGGCTTGCTAGTTGAATAGAAGAGGGAGAGTGGCCCAGGACTCAGGGTTTCCAAGGGCAGGAGGTAATGACAGGCCATGGCAACGAAGTGGCCAAGGAAGTGACTCAGCCCGGTGTGGGGACAAAGTGTGGTCAGGTCCATGGGTTGGAAGTCTTAGTGAAGACAAAGAATTATTGAAGTGGGGTTTTTACCTTAAGTGAGATGGAAGGATAGAAGATTGTGATCGGAAAGTGTGATATTTGAGTTTTCATGTCTGGAGTCGGTATCATTAGCGCTGGTGCCAAGAGACAGCAGTGAACATGGGGCAGAGTGGTTAGCGTGGGTGAAGGAAAAGGTGGCTGGAGTGACCGGCTAGGGTTGTCTGGTCAACCACGTGGATGCGAAGTTCCATAAGTGTTTATAGGAATGGCGATGCAGAGGGAGACACTGAGCTACAAGTCAAAACATTAGTGAGAAGGTTTGAACCAGTGACAGCACTGAGGAGGTATAGCAGGAGCTAATGACATCCTCTTCAGAGGATGTAGATTTTGATCAAGAACGGAGGGGAAAAAATTATTTTAAAGTTACAATGGGGAAGGCTGGGGGGGAGGTAAGAAAAATATCTAATGTTAAGATGGAGACAATATGTAATTTAATGTAAAAAAATATATTGACATTGGAATGGAGAAGAGATTTAATGTTAAAAAAAACAAACCTTTGTATTAACTTAGTAACATCTCCATGATGAGAGGTACTATATTAAATGTAAACCCATTATGTTGTGTAAAAAAAAAAAAAAAAAGACCATTTCTTGACATGCTTTACTGACAGCTTTTTTCATCAGGCTGTGGGGTGGACTCTGGTCTTCTGTGGAATTCTGTTAGAGTTTCTTTTTCCTCAGTACAATTTGCACTCCCAAGGGAGTCTGTTCCTGAGGTCCATTTCTTAAGAGTATGCTCCACTCAAACTGCAAATGTTTTTCTTGAACAAGGCTTCTGTCTTTCCCTGTATGCTTTTATATATCAGGATGTTTGGGATAGAGGATCAAGGGTAGAATCTTTCATATCTATTCTTCTAAATAGAGCCTAGACAGAGCCCTGAGCAACCTCTTTCTTTTGAGCCCAGCGTTAGACTCTCTACATGCTCTGTACTTAAAGGTCCTTTGACAGCAGAAGACATTCTTATCTCTATACTGTGGTGTAGAGGTTGTAACCATTCACTGAACTGGAAGGGATGATAGAAGAATAGCAATTGAGGGGGAAAAACAAAACAAACCTTCGGTCAGAAAGCAATGCCTGGAATGAGAAAATGAATTTTTAAAAAATTTAACTTGAGTGAATGGACTTGATAAGTAAATCAAGGAGTGTCTTCCCTTCACTAGACACTATGCTCTGTGAGGGCAGACTATTATTTCTTTCCATTGTGTCCCCGTCACTTAGCGTAGTGCCTGCCATGTGAATCTTCAGGGAATTTTGTTGGATGAGTAGGTGAAAGTTTAGGATAAATGTAATAAGCCTTTTGTCTCCCAACCCCCAACAGAAAAACAGCTGTTCTAGAAGTGAAGTTACAGTGACATTCATGAAAAGGGTCTGGCCTCGGGGAGTTTTGCCAACCTTGTCTCCCGTCCCCTCTGTCTCTTACCCTAAGCAGAGGTACAGCATGATGGGAGAGTATTTGCCCTCTTAAGCACTCTTGCTTACATGGTGTTCTTTGCCTGCATTTCCCTTCTGATTTATCGGCAAGTTTTTCTCCTCCATCAGGGACCAGGTCAGACACTGTCTGTGGAGCCTTTCCTAGCGCCCCCAGTTGAAAGTCAGCTGTATCCTCACTTACAGCATCCTTCATATTTTACTTCATAAACAAGGGCTGAGCTTGGTCATCATCTCTCTCTACATTGTCTCAGGGTCTTGAATATAGTATTCAATAAATTTTGAATTAAGTCTGCTTGGGATGTTAACAATAGTATAAGCGGTTGCATGGCCATTTGTAATTTAAGCATACATGGTGCACCAGTGAAGGGGAGAACTATTTTCTCCTTTATTTTATGCCCTCACCTATTTTATTAATTAATGTATCTTTGAGTCTTTCAACATTTTAGGGGGAAAATGTTATTTAAAACACTTTCTCAAGCCACCCTTTGAGTCTGGCTCTTAGGAAAATAACTGCCTCTCTCCATGTGTTCCAGTGGCCTTCAAATGCAGCTGGAACCTTGGGAGGGTTATAGGTTCCTGCAAGAGCCTAAAATACTGAACTGCTATTGAAGACGGCCCCCACCTGCACCCCTGTGCGTAAATAGAAGCAGACCCTGATTTGGTGCTGGAATAACATGAAGTTGAAGGCAGAGTGGGTGGCCTGGCTGTCGGAGCCAGGATTCCCATTTACATTAAGAGCTGGTTCTGGACCATTTTGAATTATTGACTCATTCAGCTCTGCAGAAGGGCCAGAGTAAAAAAATATGCATCTGGTCTCTCAAGGTTAAGTATGCAGGTTGGAAATCAACCTGTATCACTTTGAAAATGGTCACGGAAACAAGCAAGCGTAGAAAGATCTCAGTGAATAAAAAAGGCCATTATGTAGTGAGACGTAATCCCCTATAATCTTTTCTTAAAGTAAAGGTTTCAATGTGAAGCCTAGCATCCGGGGGCACATAAAATCCCAGTAGTTGCCACTTTCCCACTCCATGCCAAGCTCTGTTCCTTCTCACTTCTGCCTGTTCACAGCCAGGTGCCAGTGTGGGCTTTCAGTTTTTGATGGAACCCTGTGTTGCAGACATCAGTAGAAATCATGTTTCATGCATTAAATGAGTAGTTCTCCTAGGCCTAAATTTTTTTCTAGATTGAGCTGTTTAATTAATTCAAAAACGTTTTATTGGAGAATAACATATGTATGGAAAGCTTCTAGGTAGATAACTAGTTAAATTTTCACAGATTTTATTTTTTTTATTTTAAAGGGTGTATTGAGAATTAATCCAAAGAAGTTTCATGAAGCCTTCATTCCTTCCCCGGTAAGTTCAATAACTTTATAATAAACTTAATGTCACATTTAATTTTTTAGATGTGCTCTGAAAGTGAAATCATATATTCTAACTAAAAAGCAGAGTAGTAAAACAAAATCGAGGATGGGCAAGGATTTGTTTCAAATTTAAATAAGCAAAATTTGCCTTTGGCTAACAACCCCTTCTGTCAGTCTTACACTCTCACTGCAAGTGGAGGGGATGGTATTTGTTACTAGTTGTTACTAGGGCTGTGGCGAGCAGCTGAGCCCACACAGACACCCACCAGTTCTTGGAGCTGGACGCCCTTGGTTTATAGCTGAAAGGGATTTATGGGTTTTTCCACTGATTTAAGTTAATCTTTCCCAAACAAATATGCTATCTACTTTCGATCTACTGCATGAGCTAATCTGCAAATTTGTCCAAAAAAAAAAAAAAATGTGTAATGGGCTTTTTTCTTTTGGTCAGAGTTTCTCACTTTCTCACTTTTCTGCAGGTGATAGGACTTGGTACAGGGCTCTTCACCGCTGGGTCTTTATATCTCCGTGCATGTCATTTTACCAGGCTCTCTGCTGTTCAGGGAAGTTCACTCTGACATAGAGTTAGCAGGAGGTCTCTGGATAAGGCTCGATTGTGCAAAGCTAGGAGAGCAATGTTCTCAAATTCCTGACGTGACTTTTCCAGGCTGCCGTAAATAGGATAGCTGTAGAATTAGAGGTGTTTTAACAGTAGAAGAGAGTATAGGAATAAACTTGAGCTTATTTATTTATTTATCTGTTTGTTTATTTATTTATTTATCTAATAGATTTTATTTATTTATTTGACAGAGAGAGAGACAGCGAGAGAGGGAACACAAGCAGGGGGAGTGGGAGAGGGAGAAGCAGGCTTCCCGTGGAGCCCGATCCCAGGACCCTGAGATCATGACCTGAGCCGAAGGCAGATGGCTTTTTTTTTTTTTTTTTAAGATTTTATTTTTTTGACAGAGAGGGACACAGCGAGAGAGAGAGCACAAGCAAGGGGAGCTGGAGAGGGAGAAGCAGGCTTCCCGCTGAGCAGGGAGCCCGATGCGGGGCTTGATCCCAGGACCCCGGGACCACGACCCGAGCCGAAGGCAGACGCTTAACCAACTGAGCCACCCGGGCGCCCCAATAAACTTGAGCTTATTGATGCGGAAATGGACTACGTATATATATTTCAGTTAACATATTTCATGATGTTAAAGGACAAGTTTAGTGAGAATACAAGTTCAGTCATGTGCTTCCCAGGTTGTAGTGGTGTTCCAGTAACCTTAAGGCCTATTCTCAAGCTCAGTTTAGTTCTTTTTTCCCCCTTGCCCTACAGAAGTCAAGGATTCACATTTGTATCTCAAGTTGCATCTTACCCAGTGAATTAGATAAAAAGTATCACTGACGTGTCACCTTGTTCTCTCTGAATCCTGTTCTGCTCCATTGACGGACCATGCTATATATTCTGACCCTGGTACTTTGTGCAACTGAGGGTCAGCTTTGAGGCAGTGACTTAGCTGCAGGAGCAGGTTCATCATTCTGTGGAAGCACAGTTTACATGGTGTTCGATTCCCGACTTTGCTCATAAGGCAAAAATCACATTCAGTGATGGTAAAAATTACCCATGAAAATCTTTTAGGAATATGCCACATTAGAGACAGATCATCTCTCAGGAAGTCCAGCATAACTAGCATTTTCTCTACTTTAGAAAGAATAACTGTTTCTTCATTGGCATACCAGTTGAGGGAGCTCAATTATAATAGAGACCCGGTGTATGAAAAACATGGGTTTTTAAGCATGAAAATAATAGCCAGTGGAGTAAGGAGTTCATCCTGAGAGACACTTGGGAGCTGAGCACATTACAAGCCTCCCAGCTCCTGTGTCCACTGAAGTTTGCTGTCATTGACTGGAATGTTAAGGGAACTAATAGAGCATTTTGAAAATCTGACGGCTTGCTTGTTTTCTTCCCTGAGTACAGGGTATTGAATTTCCCTAAGTTGGATCCTGGGTAGGCTGGTTCCTGACAAGTGAGGGGCCTAGGACAAGAGTACAAATGGAGGCACACATACTTTATATTAAATATTTAGAAGTTATAAATCAAACTCACAAACTGTTAGGTAAAATACATTCATGACAAATAAGATGTATTTCTTGTTAAATATACCTCTGTGTACCTGGGTTCAAATGTAGACTCCTTGGAGTTCCATCCTCAAGTGTGGCCGCATGGAGAGGGTCTGCCTCTGGCCTGCCCCTCTTCCCTTGTCAGTCCTGGCTCCCTGTCCCCTCTTTGCTGTCTCCACCACGCCCCCCACCCCCCATTCAGTGAGGGCCCTTGCATGTACCTATGTGAGCATCTTACCCCACATGTCCAAGTTCTGTCCACATGCCTTAGAAATAGCCCTTTAGCCACCTGTCAAATCCAGTGGGTGCCACCAGTGACTGTGGTCTGCCTCCAGGCAGACAGACCCGGGGAAGATGCCTGTGTATGGCTTGGGGCTGATTACCCCAGGGACGCACATCCATTTGGCCCCGAGAACTCTTTACCTATGGGGAGGAGTGTGACTGGAGAAGGGCCAGGGCAAAGGTCCTCTAGGCCTAGTTAGGTTCCTATAAGTTAAATTCATCTGATTTATAGGTGCAAATGATGTGTTGTCACAGTTTAATTCGGCTTGTTAAAGGAAGTTAAGAAGCAAAAGTTACCAATGTTTCAAAAGCCCAAGTTGTTCTCCTACTTGAAATTATATTCCTGGCATGTCCTATTAAGAATCTTTTAGGCAGTTGTGATATTAGGATTGGCTTATTTTTATGCCCCTTATTCTCCTATTTGGCCACTAATGGAGTAGTAATATTGTCTCAGAGGGAGAAAAAATGCTAAAGAATTCACCTCTAAGTAACTAAGACCTGACTGTAAAAGCTCTATCAAGGCCCAGTTGTAAATTTTGGTTGTAGATACTGGAACAATCCTACATTCCAGTTTTGTGGGGTTTTTGGTGAGTTTCAGTATTTAGAGGCATTCTAGAAAGCCTTGAGGCAGGAGATAGTAGAGGCAGTAAGTTATATGTAGATAAATTCCACAACCACCACTGGTCTGGATTTATGAGTATACGTAGCTAATGTCCATGTCAAGTGTGAACTGGTATGAACTGGAAAAATGCTCACTGGTGGACTAGGAGTAGAATATCAGAACCAGGGCCTGAATGTTACCTGTCCCCTGCTTTAGCAGGGAGAGTAAAAACAGGAATTGTTAGAAAAGAAGATGTAGCCTTTGCTCTAACAATAAGAAATTGAAAAGATTACTTATTTGTAAAACTAGCGATGGGTTAGATTGTCTAATGTTCCTTACAATTTTAAAATTCTGAATTATAATTTAAAATTATAAAGTTTTTGGAGAGACGAAAATAGACTAGATATTATTTAGGTTCTTACTGACTCTAAAAACAGTTGTGAATTTATACAATGTCATTTGCTATGTTAAAATACTATTTACGTCAGTTGGCTAAGAACAGTGAATTCATCATCACTTTGTTTTTAAAAAAGTACTTTGTTTTGGGGAATGCTGACTTACGTTCATTATAATTTCAGCTGATAGAAAGTTGATTTTCAATTTCTTTTGACAAAGCCAAAATACATGGGAGAAGTCACTTATATATGTACCTGCTGGTCTCCTGAGGTTCTCAGTAAAAGTAAGATAGAGTAAAACCATGTGACTTTCAAGCAAACCAAGATAAATTGATATTATTGAGATGCCTTTTTCTCCTGTTTGGGGATAGGATATCAGAGGAGAAATGGACTGGCTATAGAAACTTGGCTTTTTACAAAAAGTACAGGCTCCATTCTGAATTATGATGGTGCAAGAGGTTTTATAACTTTTTTGTGCATCTCTTGTCATGGGAGGTACCCTTTGAACATCTGTGGAATTTATTTTGTCCAAAGGGAGCTATTCCATTGATAGAGAATGCTCTTGGGTTGTCCTCCCTGCTTGAAAGCCTCCTAAGTATTTAGTTAGATTACCCCCAGATCCCATTATATTTCCTCCAGGGTGGTTCATTATCCATTTTCCTTTTTTATCTATTCTTTCTGGCGGGTAGAGCTAGTCTTTGACATTCAAATAAAGAGCTGAACTCTTTAGCCTTTAAAAGTAGTTAAATGGGATGACTCGAACTTTTAATATTGAGTTGTTCCCAAGTTTATGGTCTTTAAAATAAGAGATTCTGCAATAGGTACGGGCTTCTGAATGAATACAGTAAGAGCTGAGCAGTGACGCAATACCTGGAGATTTGTGTATTGTCTGAGGTTCAACTCGGCCCTGCCCTTCTTGATTTCTTCGGATGGGAATGTGACAATAGCAGTATCTTACCATCTCAAAATCTCTGAGCTGTCTGGGGGTGGTGTACCTGCTTCTGAGAGAGATATTTCATTCCATGTGTTTTGACCAGTTGATCATGGGTTGGGATGACTTCCAAACAGCTCTCTTCATTCTGGGGAAGTTGGAGAGACTCTATTGCTACATAAATTGCAGAAGGCAGCGACTGATGACCATGTGCCACCCTGCAGTTGTTCACGTTCTGTTTAGTGGTTGCCTCTTCCTTATTTCTCTGAGAAGCTCAACATGAGGTCAACTGCAGTGATTCTGTCTTTGTGGCTAACACGGTAGTGGTACCTCAGGGACTAGGGTGGGTCAGGTTTGGCAGCATGTGCCGGCCACAGCTGTCAGCCCATGGTTAGGTTGGAAATTGAACAGAAAAACTGTTCTAAAAGATCTCTCATGGTTTGTAATTGGAAACGATAAAAAATGCTGAGTGTCTAATGTCCCATTTTTGGTGCTGGCGGGGCAGATTTGGTGAATTTGGAATGCTAATTTTAATTTTAACTGAATTGTTACAGTAATCACCTTTAATCTGTTGGGTGTTAAGTCTTACCTATACCAAGTGTCCCTACCTAGAAAATTTTGAGTGGTGGTTTTCTAAGCCTGTTTGCTATTACTTCTTTTAAGAAAAATGAACACTTTCCATGTGTACTTGAGAAGAATGTGTATTCTGTTCCTTTGAGATGGAATGGTCTGGATATATCTGTGAAGTCCATCTGGTCCAGTGTGTCATTCAAAGCCCTTATTTCCTTGCTGATCTTCTGCTTCGATGACCTGTCCATTACAGTGAAGGGGGTGTTAAAGTCCTTTACTACTTTTGTGTTATTATCAATGTGTTTCTTTGATTTTGTTATTAATTGGCTTATATAATTGGCTGCTCCCATGTTAGGGGCATAAAAATGTACAATTATTAGATCTTCTTGTTGGATAGACCCTTTAATTATGATATAGTGTCCTTTCTCATCTCTTATTACAGTCTTTGGTTTAAAATCTAATTTGTCTGATAACAAGGATTGCCACCCCAGCTTTCTTTTGATGTCCATTAGCATGATAAGTGGTTTTCCACCCCATCACTTTAAATCTGGAGGCGTCTTTGGATCTAAAATGAGTCTCTTGCAGACAGCATATTGATGGATCTGGCTTTTTTTTATCCAATCTGATACCCTGTGTCTTTTGATTGGGGCATTTAGCCCATTTACATTCAGGGTAACTATTGAAAGATAGGAATTTAGTACCTTTGTATTGCCTGTAAGGTGACTGTTACTGTATATTGTCTCTGTTCCTTTCTGGTCTGTGTTACTACTTTTGGGCTCTCTCTCTGCTTAGAGGACCCCTTTTGATATTTCTTGTAGGGCTGGTTTAGTGTTTGCAAATTCTTTTAGTTTCTGTTTGTCCTGGAAGCTTTTTATCACTCCTTATATTTTGAATGACATCCTAGCTGGATAAAGTATGTTGGCTGCATATTTTTCTCATTTAGCACCCTGAATACATCATGCCAGTCCTTTCTGGCCTGCCAGGTCTCCATGGATAGGTCTGCTGCCAGTCTAATGTTTCTACCCTTGTAGGTTACAGACCTCTTGTCCCGAGCTGCTTTCAGGATCTTCTCTTTGTCTCTGAGATTTGTAAGTTTCACTATTATATATTGGGGTGTTCACCTATTTTTATTGATTTTGAGGGGGGTTCTCTTTGCCTCTTGGATTTTGATGCCTATTTCCTCCCCCAGATTAGGGAAGTTCTCTGCTGTAATTTGCTTCAATATACCTTCTGCCCCTCTCTCTCTTTCCTCTTCTTCTGGGACCCCAATTATTCTCATATTGTTGCGCTTTATGGTATCACTTATCTCTTGAATTCTCCCCTCATGATCCAGTAGTTGTTTCTCTCTCTTTTTCTCAGCTTCCTTATTTTTCATCATTTGGTCTTCTATATCACTAGTTCTCTCTTCTGCCTCATTTATCCTAGCAGTTAGAGCCTCCATTTTTGATTGCATCTCATTAATACCTTTTTTATTTTGACTTGATTAGATTTTAGTTCTTTTATTTCTCCAGAAAGGGATTCTCTAGTGTCTTCTATGCTTTTTTCAAGCCCAGTTAGTATTTTTATAATCGTTATTCTGAACTCTAGTTCCAACATGGTTTTTCCTGTCTTGTCATTCTGTCCAGAGAAGAATAGATGAATAAGAGAACAGAATACTAAAATGGAAACAATGACCCCAGAGAAGTATACACTAAACAAATCAGAAGAGACCCGAAACCGAAAAAAAAAAAAATAATAAAAAAAGAACATATAATCAGACAGGTGGAAAAAACAGAGCAATACACTGGATCCTGTGTGCATTTTGGTCTGTTTGTTAGAAAACTAGATCCCAAAATTTTAAAGAAAGAAAAACTTATATATGTACAAAAATAAAATTAAATACAATGAAAGGATAGAATGTAACTGTAAAAATGAAAATTAAAAACTTTAACAAAAAAAAGAAGGAATATAAACAGACAGGTGAACAGAACAGAGCAATACACTATATCCTGAGTGTATTTTGGTTGGTTTGTTAGAAGAAACTACATCTCAAAATTGTAAAGAAAGAAAAACTTATATACATACAAAAATAAATAAATACAGTGAAAGGATAGAATGTAACTATAAAGATGAAAATTAAAGACTTTAACAAAAAAAAGGTGAAGAGAACAGAGCCATACACTAGATTCTGGGTGTATTTTGGTCTGTTCGTTAGAAGAAACTGTACCCCAAAGTTGTAAAGAAAGAAAAACTTACATATATACAAAAATAAATAAAAGGATAGAATATAAATATAAAAATGAAAATTAAAAAAGATTTTAAAAAAGGAGTTGATAAAATAAGAAATTCATTGAAAAAGGAAAGAGAGGGTACCTGGGTGGCTCAGTTGGTGGGGTGTCTGCCTTTGGTTCAGGTCATGATCCCCGGGCCCTGGGATTGAGTCCTGCATTGGGCTCCCTGCTCAGCGGGGAGTCTGCTTCTCCCTCTCCCTCTGCCTGCCACTCCCCCTGCTTGTGCCCTCTCGCTGTCAAATAACTAAATAAAATCTTAAAAAAAAAAAAGGAAAAGAAAAAGGAAAGAGAAAAAAGTTAAAATTGAAAGAGTAAAGAATCATGGGGGAAAAAAACATAAATTCTATATACTATTTTCCTCTAGCATTGGAGTCTTGGGGTTCTCCGTGATTGGTAAACTTGGTCTTAGCCTGTGTTCTTGCTGATCTTCTGGGCGAGGGGCCTATTGTGCTGTTTCTCAGGTGTCTTTGCCCAGGGCAGAATTGCACCGCCCTTGCCAGGGGGCCAGGTTAAGTAATCTGGAATGAAAATGGCAGCCTGCCGATCTCTGGCCCTTGGGCCCCAGTCCTCAGGGTGCCCGCAGGGAAAAGAAGTTAGTCACTCCCTGGTCTCTTTCGGTACTCCATGCTTACCCAGCCTGGGACTGAGCGTTTCTATCTCAGGCACACGAACCCTTTTAGAGTCTCCAAAACCTGCAGACTCCTGCAGCTCACAAACATGCCACTCCTCCTGGGGGAGTCTTCTGGTGATTCTGCTGCTTGCTGGGCCCATGCTCTGGGAGGGGTCGCCCAACTGTGTGGTTTGCGGTTTATGGCAACCCGGAGCTGAGAGCCCACTCCTGGGCTCAGTGATTACAGCCGGCTTCCCCACTCCGATGCCTGGGAACTGCCGCATTCAGGCACTGCCGATCTTCCTGTGACCCCAAGGATCCTGAGACCACACTGTCCCTAACGTGGGTTGTTTGTAAGCATGTGATTGAGGACGAAGGTGTCCATGCTTTGTGTTCACAGTAGGGAGTTCACCCTGCTTCTCAGTCAGAGAGTGAAGGAGTGTGAGAATGCTTCATGAATCTCATGTCCCTTTCCTTTTCTTCTTTGCCTCCTATCTAGGTCTCCATAAAAGCAACCACAGTTTGCTTTCTCTGTCATTTTCTCAGTGGGAGGATTATGATTTTGCTGGTTTCTTCTTTAGAGAACTCAAATCCTGGAGCTGGTTGTTGCTCCTGTCCTCAGTTGGTTTTCTTAGGGAATTATATTTGTTGTTCTTCTATTTTCTTGCAAACCTTCTATGTTTTACCCTTCTCTGATACTTAAAAAAAATTAGCATAGAAAAGGTATCATCATGCTTTATTTTATTTGAAACAAGAAGGGATAACTTCTTTCTCATTTCAGTTATGAAAGCATGTAGTCTCAGTTTTTTACTTTATGTATTTTTGTTTGTTTTTGGTCTGCCTGTAGGAGATCTTCTCCTATGTTTTTGAAATTTCTTTAACATCCTGTTAACCTGCTTTTGTGTGTTCATCCCCATTTCTGTTTAGTCCCAAAGAAACTGATTTCCCTCTTAGTGTTCTTGTTAAGTCAGTGGACAGATTGTAGAGTCTACAGTTTTTAAACCAAGGAAGTAATTTTTGGTTCCAGGTCTTGGTAAGCTGATTATGTTCTCTCTTCAACCTAGGATGGTGATCGAGACATTTTTATCGATGGGGTTGTTGCTCGTAATAGAGCCTTGAATGGGGATCTGGTGGTCGTGAAGCTGCTTCCAGAGGAGCAATGGAAGGTGAGTTAAATTTTCCTTTTCTAAGAATACACTACTCAGGACCTTTCTATTCCATGGTGCAGCTGTGAAACATCATAAATTGGAGTAGTCACGGACTCCTAAGGTCCTATAGTTGCCTCAGAAGCCGGCCATGCAGTGCTTCGAACTTAGAAGCATCTGGTGGGCAGACATTTAATGATTTGAGTTGTTCTCCTTGCTCCCTCCCTGTGATCTGTCTTCCCTGTCATATGCCTTGCATTGATTCCTGGTAATTTTTAGTATAGAAGAAAAGCTTGCAGGGCACATTTAAACTTCTGATATGTGTTATTTTCCCACATTTAATGGTGGGAGAACTGGAAAGACAAAGCCATGGGCATGGTGGCAGTCTTTACACGTTCTTGCTGCCTCTATGGGAAAACCCAAGCAACACATACCTAGTTCTGTAGGTTCCAGTTTGGTGATTGGGCTTTCCTTGGCAGACAAAAATAGACTCTGTCTTTTAATAAAACAGGGATCTGGTGGCAGAAGAAAATGTTTTTAACGTGAGAATATCCTGGGTTTTAGTCTCTGTATATGTCAATTGAAAAGAAAAATGTGTTTTTTGTCGATTGTTTTAAATAAAACCAATTTGTTTTAAGTAAATGATTCATAGTAGCAGTTTCTTTGAATTGTCTTGTAGACCTGGCAACTTGTGTGTCTAAGTCTGGGTTTTTCTTTATAGCATTTCTTCATATCTTTTATTTTATTTGGCTCAACTCACTGGTATTGAGGAATATGGTGTCCTCTTCAGTGAGAGGTACTGTAGGGATTAATAGAGTGGGGTTTTAGGCTAGGCTCCTTGGGTTTGAATCCCATTTCTGCCACTCATCTATATAACCTTGGGTGAATTATATAACCTTTCTGTGCCTCAAAGCCCTTATCTGTAAAATGGGAATAATCATAGTACCTACTTCATAGGTTTGTCATGAAGATTAAATGAGAATTCAGGTAAAAATCTTAGAATGGTGCCTGACCCATGGTAGCAGTTCAAGCAATGTCAGTTTTTATTATTAGCTTTTACAGAAATGGAAGAAATACTACTTTATCTCAAAGCTTTGTCAAGACGTAAGTTTGTTTTTATCCGATAGGGTTAGAGTGAGTCAGAATGGGCATTTCTAGGGTGTAGGTATGTTAATAATGATCAAAAGACATAGCTCTTGCCTTCATGGAGCTTTTAGTCTGATGGGAAGTGCATGTAGGAAGAGACATACTAATCACACACAGATGTAAGGATAATTATGATTAGTGCTGTGAAGTTAAGTGTAGAGTGTTTTATAAGGGTCAGTGATCCTAGTCCCCATCCCCCAGCCCATCCCCAGTTGCTGCCAGCTGTGGTTATATCCTCCCTTGATTCCCCAGAAGCACAGCTAAGGGTTGGTTCCAGGTCCTAGGAACATAGATTGATTTAGGCCACTTCCTCTTTTCTGGAAAGCATCATCTAGCGCAGTGTTGATGAGATATGAGAAGGTAAGAGGAGTGCATTTGGGCCTGGTCAAACTAAAGGAATTATCCCTAGAGGTCATTTGAGGGAGTAAAGAGGCATAATTAGATGACCCAGAGAAGGAACAAGAAAGATGGTGGTTTCCTTTAAGTTAAGGAGTGAGAATGGGTAGAATAGAAAGAAATAGAAGAGTAATTAGCAAATTGGGTGAGTCTAGAGCTGACCAGAGCAGGTGTAAGGTGTGGACTGGCTGAAGAATAATAGGAATGGAGAGCATATAGTAGAGCACCTGTTGAGCTCTGTCTGCAGAGGTGGATGAGGTTGATTCAGAAAGAGCAAGGCCAGGGCGCTTGGGTGGTTCAGTTGGTTAAGTGTCTGTCTCCGGCTCAGATCATGAACTTGGGGTCCTGGGATCAAGCCCTGCGTTGCATGCTCAGCAGAGAATCTGCTTCTCCCTCTCCCCTCGCTCTTGCACACTCTCTCAAATGGATAGATAAAATCTGTGGGAAAAAAAAAAGAGCAAGGCCAAGTTGCCTGACATCCTTCCTACCTTAGCTGTGGCCGGGGATGGCTAAAAAAACAAACATACAAATAAATAAATCAGTTGCATTATTTTCCTGGTTCTTCACCCCATTTGTATTTAAGACCAGCAAGCACAGCCTTTCCCGGTATTGTCAGATGCACTCTTGCTTTGGACAGGAAGCCTAAGAAGATGCGAGTAGGTTGGAGGTGAGGGTGTTTATTGTTATCAAAAGTTGTAGAAGGACAGCTTAGGACTTCGGCATTCTTATTTCTGCCTTGGTGCCTTTGCTTTTAGACAAAAACCTATACCTCCTTTGAGACTCAACACAGCAAAGTTGTGTTTTTTCCCAAGGGGCCTGCATTTGTGATTTTGTGATTCCTAGGTCACTGGAGCTAGTTAAGCAGATAAGAATTTACTGACATTCTTACAGTCAGTATATTCCCACAGTCAGTATATTCAGGCTGTATTGACACAGCTTGTTGTTTTTCTGTTTTACAGTTAATATCTAAAGGCAGAAGAGATTAAGGGCCAGATGGGAGTTTTAAGCCAGGGAGTGACATGGTCTTATTTAGACAAAAATTACTCTGGCTGCTATTTGGAGAATGGAATTAGCGGGGGCAATATGTGTTGGCATGGCCAGTTAGGAGACGTAGACTGAGTCATGACGGTAAAGATGGAGAGAAGTAGGGATGTATTTTGAAAGTAGAGCTTATGGGACTTGAAGATGGATTTGAGGAGTAGGATGAGTGGAAGCGGGGAATCAAGGATTAAGATTCTGGTTTAAGCCAAATGGATGGGTATGATGTCATTAATTAAAATGAGGAATAGTAGGGAAGAGCATGTTTGGGTGCAAAAATTATGAGTTCTGCTTGGCCATGTTAAGTTTTAATTTCTTTTCAAACATGTTAATAGAGATGTTGAGAATATATGGAGGTCTAGATGGTTCATTACTCATAAATTCTACTAAACATTTAAGGAAGAAATAATCCTGAGTCTACACAAACGCTTTCAGAAAATGCAAGAGGAGGAAATCTTTTTCAACTCATCCTATGAAGGCAGCATTGCCTTAATATCAAAACTAGGAAAAGACATTATAAGAGAAGAAAGCTACAGACCAGTACTCCCCACAAACATAGTTGAAAAAGTCCCCAACAAAACATTAGCAAATAGAATCCAGCAACATATTATATTACAAGGGTAATACAACAGGAGCAAATGGGGTTTATCTCAGGCATGCAAAGTTGGTTTAATATTTGAAAAGCCATTTGATGTAATTCACTGTATTAAAAGACTAAACACCATATTTCAGTCAATGCCATCATTTTAATAGATGCAGAAAATACAATTGACAAAAGTCCACAACCATTCATAATAAAAACTCACAGCAAACTAGAAATAAAAGATTACTTCCTCAATCTGGCAAAGAATATCTAGAGATGTTACCATTCTTAGAAAGGTGAAAGACTGAATGCTTTTCCTCCACTATTGGGAGTGAGGTAAGAATGTCTCTTCTCATCCCCTTTATTCAACACTGTACTGGATATTCGAGCCAGCACAGTAAAGCAATAGAAAAAAAAGCATTCAGATTAGAAAGGAAGAAGTAAAAGTCTCTTTATTTTCAGATCATATGATTTTCTACCTATAAAATCCTAAGGAATCTACAAAAAGCTGCTAGAACTAATAAGTGAGATTAGCAAGGTTGGAGGACAGAAGTTTGATATGAAAAAATCAATTGTACTTCTATATATTAGCAATGAAAAATTGGAAATTAAAAAAATTTATTAAAGTATCTTTTTAATAGGATCAAAAGTATGATATACTGAGGGAAAAATTTGACCAAATTTTGACCACTTACAAGACATGTACACTAAAACTATAATCATCACTGGGAAAAATTATGTAACACTTTAGTAAATGGTGAGAAATACCATGCTCATGAATTAAAAGACTCAGTATTGTTAAGATGCCAGTTCTATTCAGATTGATCTATAGATTAAGCACAATCCCAAAGAAAATCATAGCAGGCTTCTTTATAGAAATGAACAGACTGATTTTAAGATTTATATAGTTGTACAAAGGGCCCAGGATAGCCAAAACAAAGAAGAACAAAACTGGAGGTTGCATGTTGCCTGATTTCAAGACTTACTATAAAGCTCTGGTAATCAAGACTATGTGGTAATATCAAGATAGACATATAGATCAATGGAACAGAGTAGAGCATCCTGAAATAGACCCATACATATATGATTAATTGATTTTCTACAAAGGTGCCAAGGTAATTCAGTGGGGAAAGGATCTCTTTTCAACAAATGTGCTATTACAATTGTATAGCCTTATGAAAAATAATGAACTTTGACCCTTACCTTGTGCCATATGAAGAAATTAACTTGAAATGGATTGTAGATATAAATGTTTGTATAAAAGTATGAACTTTCTATAAGGGGAAAATTATAGTGATCTTAGATTTGACAAATATTTCTTAAATATGAAACATAAAAGAAAAAAATCAATAAATTTGACTTGCTCAAAATTGTAAACTTTTGCTCTTCAGTAAACACTGTTACAACAAGGCAAGCTACGGACTAGGAGAAAATATTTGCAAAACATTTATCTGACCGAAGACTTTTATCTAGACTGTAAAGAACTCTTTTATTTATTTATTTTTAAAGATTTTATTTATTCATTTGACAGAGAGAAACACAGCGAGAGAGGGAACACAAGCAGAGAGAGTAGGAGAGGGAGAAGCAGGCTCCCCGCTGAGCAGGGAGCCTGCTGCGGGGCTCGATCCCAGGACCCTGGGATCATGACCTGAGCCGAAGGCAGACACTTAACGACTGAGCCACCCAGGCGCCCCTAAAGAACTCTTTTAAGTCAGTAACAGACAACTATTTAAAAACTGTACTAAAGATTTGAAGAGATACTTTACTAAATAAGATATTTGGATAGCAAATAACCATAGGAAAAGATGCTTGACATAATCAGTCATTAAGAAAATACAAATTAAAAGCACAAGATAGA